AAAAAAAAAAAAAAAAACACTCATTTTAAAATGGTTGTAAAACATGGGCTTAACTTCCAGAAAATGACATATGGTAACCCAGTTGGCTTAGATTAACGTTGTACAGGGAATGGGAATGGGAACATGATTATTAAAATCGTAAGATATGATGCCAACTTTAATGGTGTGATTGAAAGAAAGACTCTTTTTTGGCTCTATTGTTATAATCAAAAGAATGAATAGTGGCAACTCTAAAGATTTTATTGCACTCGATAGATACTCTATACCTTGTACGCTTAACCCCCGTTTGGTGGCTTTTTTTTGAAAAAATATTGTTTTGAATAATAAATTTTTGAAAAATATATTATTAAATGATAGAAAAAAATTTTAAATTTATGTGTAAAATATTTTACTGGGTGAATGTATAGTTGTGAATGAATATGTAGATTTTTTTTTGAAAGAATAGGAGACCAACAAGAGTTAACATGTTAGATAATTCCGCAGTACATGTGCTGATGTTTTCGTCAAGAGTAAAGCCACTTTACTTGAAAATGATTGATATCTCGAGTGATCGACCCTCACATTGCGCGTGGATCCCGCATGAATAAAATAATATCCGACTCCCGATGTGTGTGTATGTGTGTGTGTGTTCGGTCATTTCTTATGTCAACCCCTATATTCGTGTAGCATAATTCGTTCGTCGATTTTTACCTACTACCCTCAACATAGATTTTAATAAAATTCATTAAAGTTTAGATTTCTATAATGAGTAAATTTGTAAAAATTTCATTAATTGAGATTATTTTAATAAATTTGTACATTCATCCGTTTGTGTCATAATTGTATCCGAGTTCTGTATGCTTTTTAAAAGTTTCAAGGGCAGGTGGGAGCAGCTAAGGATGCGGTTTATCCTTATAAAAGTCATCTGTCCAATTATTGTACTAGTCTATATTATTGTCTATTGTATCTGAAGATTGAAGGAATCTTCATCATTCATTAATATTATCGAAGAACAGAAGTAAAATCTCCAGTTTCATAATATCACGAGTTTCTAAATTCCATCCTTTTCTCACTGAGCAGTTACATGAGTATGCTCTGTTATTGTCCACTCTGAGGATTCTTAGCATCAGGAATTGTGCTGCAGACCATGACGATCCTACAGAAAGATTTGTAATCCTAAAAATCATGCCATGTATTTAAAGCCTTTGATTGGCTGGCTGTTTGTGCAAATCACATTTATTTATAAATGTACCACATTTAAATTGCATTAAAGATCCTCAAATTTTATTCATCATCACATTTATGTTCCTAATATTTTTCATCACGTTTTTATTCTCAAATTTTCATTAATTAAAAAATATTATCACTGTACTTTAAACTAAAGGACAGATTTTCAGTAGTAATTTAGCATTATTTTTTGCTTATTTTGTATTTATTATTATTTTTACTTATTCAAAATCACAAGGGATAAAAAAGTCCTTTTAATATTCTCTCAAAAATTTTGGAGAGGAACCATCATCATAGAAAATTTCTAATTAATGGAAGGTTTGATGACAATAATGTGATGAAATTCGTTGAATACACTAGTGTGACAATAAGTAAAGACCGTGAACCTTTAATACAATTAAAATGTGATTCTTTTATAAGAACTAGTTTTTTGCCCATACGATGTATGTGTTTCATTACATTGTAGGTATTGTTAGCATTTTAAATGGGTTGAGTTATCTTCCATTTAAGTATATGTTCTATACGAAAAGTCAATTTAGTTAAAAAAAAAGGAAAAATGGAAAAAAAATGAAATGTTCGTAAGTTACAATAAAATTGAAGCTGAACGCATACAGGTAGAATTGCAAGCCATATTCACAGATGAGAAAAGCTCTTCATGGTCATCCACTGCTTTCTCTTGAAAATCATAATGCATCAAAAAAGTATTTCACAATCTTAAGAATTTTGAGAAACAAAAATATGTTTCTGTGGGCTTCTTTCATTTATCTCATTTGTGGATTTTAGTTATCTTTCGTTTGAGGCAAGTGACAATGTCAATTAATCCTTCATATGACACATAATTCAAGCTGGTAAAAATGGTTTTAATATGAATATGGAGCTCCATAAATAATTCAGATTGACTTCAAACCTTCTGTATACGGTATAACTTAAGAAATGTGAAGGAATCAGGTAACATAAACACAAGGAAGCAGTAGTTGATCCTATTTTAGACCAGCATAGTAGCTAACATCTGAGAGAGATAAATGAAAAAGAAAAAAAGACAGATGAAAACTGACAAATCCAACATGGCTAATCCAAAATCACTCTAAAATGTAGGAGAATATTTTGCTAATAAATTATATTTAAACATATATGATATCGTTCAAATCAGGAGAACTCCCATTTGCCACATGGTCAAGATGAGAAAACGCCTTGCGATCCGATAACTTCTTCAAAGTACGATATGACTTGCCGTCAATGTTGAACAAAAAATCATTATGAGATAGAGGAAACAAGAAAATTTCAATATAAGCAGAATTTCTTGAGAGTATGGAAATGGTGGTGTGAGATGACCTGCTAATGGAGTCCCCTGTCCAACTGATCAATATCTTGATTGATTACCATGTCCTCTGTGTCATCCAATGCAGGTTGTAGTAAGCATTGCAGTGAGAAAAACAAAAATGAATATTTGAGTGAATAAGAAACATAATCCAAGTAGCAAAGAGAAAACGAATAACAAGAAGGAACAAAAAAAAACCTTTTACCCAGAGGCTATGTGTTACACACAATTTCCTTAAAACAGATTCGCCTCTTGACCATCCGTCCTTGAGGTGTAATTTGAGCNTATGCGATTTGCAATTAAATATGTAATTGTCACAAATTATGTCTTTATGACTGTGAATTTGTTGTAGTACGTGGTCAAGATAATAAAACGTAGACACTCCTACTGGACTTCGGTCCGACATTCGTGTAAGCAGGTCGCGCCCGCACACAAGTTTAAGGTCCAAAGCCCATTTCAATCCATGATTTGCACCTCCCATGCGCGCGCACGTGGAGAGAAACTCTATGCTACACATGATTTCACCATTTAAAACTGTAATCCTTTATAAAGTGGTTATAGTTTTCATCAACTACCTATGTGGGACAAACTTATTTTTTTTTTTTATTTCCCACCAACATAAACTCATTTTAAATGACATACTTTGAGCTTCAATTTCTCATTCACCCGAGCATCATTTTTGACAAGTAAGTATATGATTTCGATGTCCTCACGGAGGAGAACACAAATCAACTTTCATCTTCCAAAATAGTCAAACGGATCCTGCTCAAAATTCATGCCAAAGTCACCCACAAACTCAATTTTTTCCAACAATAACAACTAATGTTGAGAATAAGAATTCAATGAAAAAAAAAAAATTGAGAAATAAATGTGACACTAAGAAAAGAATAATTTCTTTTAATAAAAATTATGACTCACTGGGTATTCAAGTATCAATATAAATAGTGCAAATTTTCCTCTTTTGCTGAGTCTTGTAAAAATTTCATTACTATTTTCTCCAAAAGCAACAATGATGCCAAAACTTTAGTATGAAGCAGTGGAAAAGGAATCAATCTAAGTGTACAACATTGATTAACAATAATGGTTGACAATCATGTGTTGTCAAAATCCTAATATGTGATGTAAAAAATAATTTTTTAAAATGGATGGATATAATGATGTCAAATAGAATATTAGTGGTGGCAATCGAGCCGAGCGACTCGTCGGCTCGACCGTTCGGCTCGTACTGTAACGACCCACGAGTCGCTCGAACTCGTCAAAAGACAAGCCCGAGCAAGAGCCGAGCGGGCCGCTCGCTAGACAAGCTGAGCCCGAGCTCGACTCGTTAAGGAGACGAGCTCTCGTGGGCTCGTGAAAAACCATTAAAAAAATATAAAAAAAATCTAAGAAAAGCTAAAAAATTTCGTCCACGAGCAAACGAGCCACGAGCCTCGTGAGCTTGTGGCTTTAAGGTCGGCTCGGTCCATTGACATCACTATAGAATATTGTCAATTAATATTGTACATGTAACATGATTCAAGGAAAAGTTGATTCGCAATTTCAAAACTTTTCTCTCATTAAAGATAAGTAAAGCATTAAAGATGACAGATTCCTAGCACTTCTTCGACCTCAAA